CCCTGCTAATGGTATTAAATGGCACAACGCTAGCACTAGCATTCTGCAAATGGCTACTGCCTTGAAGTATTGTGAAGGAGGGGTGACACTTACAGTAAGTGGTGGTTTATGAAACGTTTGTTCTTGAATGTGACTTTGAGGACGGATGTCTTTTGTTTCACAGAGGAGGAGGTTGAAAGAGAGAATAGATGATGAGAGGTAAAGGGTGGACTGGCAACTCTCTCAAGGGCTTACACTCACACAAACACGACTGCAGGCGCACAAACACACATGGAGTATAAAAACTTCCAATGACAAAGACCATTTTGTGACAATATATAGAGATACTGTCTAACGTCACACCTAAAAGAGACAAAACCCACAAAGCTTCATGGTAACGCAGGGCCTTGGTGAGCTGACATTTACCCTGCATCCCTAACACACACACACGCACACACCACTTACACACACACACCAGTCACACACATAAGGTCCTATATGCATGACAATGGCCCAACTAGAGACACTGACAGGAGAGGGACGGGGGAGTGATAGCAGAGCGGAGGTGCAAGGCCATATCCTGAGGCAACTGTCTTTAATGGATGGCAGAGGGCAGCGTGTGTGAAAAATGTGTGTGCATGCATGAATCATAAAACATAAAAGAACTTTTGAGTGACATATAAGGAAGGCTGCGCCACTGTAGATAGTGAGTTGGATGGACTTCAAGCGGGAGACAGAAAAAGTGAGATAGATACTCTAGTGATGTTCAGATCAAGACACTGGCAGAGAAAAGACAGATAAGCAGGCCGCTGGTTTCATTGGCTGATTGATTGACAAACAGACAGGCGGACAAAGAGTAAGATATATACAGTAGGGCCTACATGAATAAACTCTTGGAAAGTCATACAAGCCAGCGGTAGCTGGGCGGAAGTGATAGAACCGATCCTGGCCAAGACAGTATGGGCCTGGTGGTGAGATTCACGTATACACATGACTTCATGATACACAATTGAACAAGACTGCAGAATACAGAAAACACCACAGGACAATGAGGAAAATAGACAGATGATATTCGATAGGCATCAAGCTTCATATACAGAATGGGACAAAAGAGAGAAAGATAACTATATTTAATAAAAGCATGAACCATAAGGTATCAACTTCAGACAAAGATTAATTTTGTGGGGGGAAAATACAGCATTTTCCCTTTAATCACAGGGAAGAATGCATCTGCTTTAGAAAATCCTTATGAGCACATACAGATAACAAAAGAACAGAGCTTTTAAGCTGTCAGGAGGTTTTCAGCAAGGCTAGAAGCTTTGCTGTCTATTGAGCAGTCGTGTTATTGTCGCACAAAGCTGAAAAATTACTGTATCCACACATTGTGTTGTGTCTTTTCTAACTCACAAGCTATTTTATCTGCCCACGAATAGCCAGTTTATTTTGCTTGTTATTTTAAACATACCTGCCCTCTTTCCCAGAGTGCATTGCCTTGTCCTTCAGTGCAGCAGAGAAATAGTCTTTTAAAAAATTACAAAGTGCATGTGTGTCAGCCCAGTGTTAATGTAATGGAATTTAAAAAGTTTTGTTCTTATCCAACATAAAAAAAAAAAAAAGATTGGTGCATATGGTGTACGGGGAACTGGGAGGATACCCACTTTGTGTCGCAGTTAAAAAGAAAATTATTCGTTATTGGGGGAAGCTGGTAGAAGGTAAAGATACTAAAATCAACCGAGTAATGTATCTGCTGAACCTGTATAATGCTGGTGTATATGCGTCACCATAGCATCATGACATCATGTGATATGTACATAGAATTTAAACATGCATTCAAGCTGGAAAAAGATCTGTTGCATGAAAACCCAGATTTGCAACCTTTGTAATGACAACCGTCTAAGAGACGAGAATATTATTTTGTAAGCATAATAAATTTCAGGGAAACGTATCTGTCAAAGTATTATGTAGGGTACCCATCTATGTATAATTTAATTTTGTTGCTGCAATCAGACAAGCCAAAAGTCATTGGCAAACTGGGTGTCTTTTTGAAGAATGTTCTTCATTTGTTTAAGCAATATTTGCTGTTTTTTCTTTACCAAGCAGTATGCCTTCATCTTGTCATTTTGTCGCTTGCGCTCCATGCCATATGATTATGGTCCTGAGCAAAGAAATAAATAAATGAAATGAAATGGTTGTTAAATTGTTTCTTTTCTGATGTTTGTTTTTCAAATATTGTCGGAATGCATTAAATCAGCTTTTTCAAAAATGTACATATTACAGATGAGCTCACGCGCTGAGGCACCTCTTTCAGAGAAAGGTAAAAAACCTCCATTAACAGTCTCAACCCTAACAAAATGCTTCCTCCGGGGTCTACAGAATATTATATTTCATAATGAAATATGATCCAGTGCTCTTTCTCTCATGACTAAATCTGTAGTGCATATTGCTCCCCGTTGACCCTTAACCACCTGCAGCAATACTGAAAGTTTTCCTAGTAAAACTCTCGTCCAAGTGTTCTGCTCTGCCAAGCTGCTAGCTCTGTCAGATCCATTTATAGACAGGCAGACTGGACAGCTGCCTGCGTGTCCAGAGGGGTCTTGGGACTGCCCACTCGTTTCTTTTCATTAAGGCTGACTGATCGGGAGCCTCCAGTGGCAGCTCTGCCCGCTCCTCTCTCTTTTTGACCCACTCTCAGTCATTTGAGTATCATTCCGACGTATTCCTATTTGAGTATTTACATTTTGACCCAGCATTACTACATATTAAACTCAACAAATGTGACTGTTGTAGTTTCGAAAAGTTATTTTCCCCCCCCACTTGTATGATAGAATATGTTTTACATGTATGTCACACAGGTTTTTAAGTGTAAGGTCAACTCTCCTGTGCATCACAGTCAGAAAAAATCTGGACTAGATCAGTACTCTTTTGTCTCCATCTTTCGTATCTCTGTAGCTTCTTCATTCCCACCTACATTCACTGACCCCGTCTGCAGACTCTTTTTGCGCTGTATGTGACCCTGTCCAACCAATGCCGCTGGAGCTCGAAGTGAAGCATGGAAGCTTAGAGTAATATAGATGCAAATAACTACAGCAGCAAGAGGTTTTTAAATAATGCCTGACAGAACCATTGGGAGAGAGGTGACGGCTCTAAAACTACATCATAATAATAGAACAGCTTGCTAAAGTTGACTATCTGTAGAAATTTGTTGCCTGTAGGAATTTGTCTGAAATGTCTACAGCTCCTAATAGGGCCTTTCCAGAACAATTTGTGGCAGCCAGCAGTGGGTCTGAGACCAAGCTATGTGACTGTGTGAACAAATGAACATCAGAGGGATAGCACCTCACATGTTAGCAAAAGACACTAAGACCTAACAGAGCTCTGTTATGGCTAGCGGTGCTGATCAGAGCTAATACACTGGTTAATGTGACAAAGTGTGCAGTGAAGGGCAGCAAGAGAGGATTTAATATAGGAAGAGGGACGCATGGTGGATGGGATCTAGAAGAGAAGAGCTGGATCAACAGTGACAGCAGCAGGAATGATCCAAGGATGAGCAGATAATACACACGACGGGTGGATAAGAGAGAAGTAAAGAAGCAAAGCATATAATAAAGAATATCGGATGTAGGTAGTTTAATAGGACATTTATCTTAAACCTAGGAAAATTTATATGCCTTTTTAAGTAAGAGCTTGAGATAGAGCACTCAGAAGTCTTAAAGGTCAACCTGAAAATCCAACTGTCTTCAAAAGAGTAGCGCAGGTCATTCTTAAGAAGCAAGATTTAATCTGTTAGATTATCCCAATAAAGAAAGGTTAGACAGAGAAGATGTGAGAGATAAAATGTTTGGGACCAAGAGTTTTTTGGAAAAGCAACCACTTCTGATTTTAAAAAGCCAACAATTCTTAGGATTTTATGAATTTTGAGTTGCAGGAATGTGGTGGTGGAAACGTGAGTCAAGAGTTGGAGAGAAGAGTTTGTTGTGTATGTAAAGGAACTGCTCAAAAGACTTTATTTCCTAACATTACTCCAACACAACAAACTCCTCTCCCCAACTCTGACACACGAGACTGCCGTTTCTGGTTAAAAACAAAGGGTGTCACATGGTGTCAGACACCTGTGACAGTCTGAGCCTTTAGATGGCAAAAAGAAGAACTTTTTGTGGTCGTAATTTTGACGGGCGCAATTGTCCCAAAGGGATACATTGCAGCCACTGCAGCAGGTTCGCCGGCTGAAGCCATCTACTGAAAGGATTCCAAAAACTTTTGTACCTACTAGTCATTTCGACCCCAAAATATATGAAAATGTATTTCAGGTTTAAAAATACCGAAATTACCCTTAAAGAACTTCTCATTTATCTTTAGAGGACAGTGTAGGGTCTAAGTCTGTTCTGGTTTTCAGCCCATACGACATTCACTTAGGTTGGATGGGCGTGGTGTTGATATGTTTGATACAGACTGAAGCTTTAATTTTTATTCATTTGCCTTTTAACTCTCTCTTTGTGTCTCTTCTGTGTTATCTCTCTCTCTTTCTTTCTCTGACTCTAATTCACACTCACTCTGTCCAGGCTATGCCTGATTGAATCTGAATTAAACACGTGCATCAAAAAAGAGAAAAACAGCTTGCCTTTACTTATAGTCTCACAATCCGAGTTTATACAACACATGGTCACAACCGCCCACCACCACCACCAAACCGACTTACGTACAAACACATCTACACTATTTTTCCCCAAAGATTCCCATCCCACTGGCAAATGGATCTTTTGAACCAGTTTAAAAAGACTGATTGCTTTTATTGTGAGCCTTTGCCTTGCTTTTATCGACCGTTTAAACTGCCAAACTCACCAATTGTTGTTTTGTGCCTTTTATCTACTTTGGAGCCATATCAGTGCGTTTTGTCACGATAATAATGTGCAAATTGCCCTGTTCATTATTGTTTTTTGATGGAGAAATTGGGTAAAATAAGCACTTTGTAGATAAGCGTAGGGTCTGAACACTATTTGCGAAAGCATCAGCAGAGAGCAGAATGCATTTCAAAGAGCTGAATGCCAAAACTGATTTTAATACACTAATAACGGTGTAATCTTCCTATCAGAAAGTTCCAAAACACAGTGCACGCCTTGTGACTTATAATTCCGCCCAATAAGCACGTCTCATTGATTTTGCTTCCTATCTGAAGTGTCAAAGTAACCAACATGCAGATCACAATCCTCAGAAGTTAACTGATTTGGTATAAGGAATAAAAGGATTATTCTTCTTCACCTTTTTGTTCCACTGTCAGTGTCACTGTTGAGCTCCTTCCAGGTCTGACTAATTAACTGCTATCCTTCTGTCTATCTTTAAAGGAAAAGGGAGCTACTCCAAGTGCTCTGGCCAAGTGTGTTACTGAAAGGGAATGAGCGATAACGGCAAAAACTAAATAACAATGGGAGTAGGAAATTGCTTGAAAGTACAGAATATACAGTACTGGACAAAATGCTGTAAAGTAAGAATGCTTTCATAAATACAAATGTTAATAGATTATAATGATCAATTAACAAAATCCAAAGTGAGTGAACAGAAGAGAAATCTAAATCAAATCATTGGTGGTGTCATGCTGCAGAATAAATTTGAAGCCAATCAGATGCCTCCCTGATGGTACTGCATGATAGATAAGCATCTGCTTGTACTTCTCAGCAATGAGGAGAACATTCATTATGACAAAATCCTCAACTTTGTTTGCATAAATGCAGTCCCAAACTTCCTCATGCTTCACTGTTGCCTGCAGACACTCATTCTTCCCTTCGGCGAACAAACTGCCTTCTGCTGCAGCCAAAAAATTTGACTCATCAGTCCAGAGCATTTTTCTGCACCCCGGGTCCTGTGTTTCCGTACTTAATTGATTTGCTTGGCCTTGTTTCCATGTCGGAGGTATGGCTTCCTGGCTGCAACCAGACCTCTCGAGACAGTAGATGGGTGTACCAGGGTCCCACTGTTTTCTGCAGCTCTGAGCTGATGTGATTGCAAAGGGAAGTAAGCATGTCTTTCATCTGCTGTATTAAGTTTCTTTGGCTCACCACTGCATCTACGATGTTGCACGTTTCTTTCTGATTCTTCTAAAGAGCTTGGACAGCACATCTGGAAATCCCTGTTTGCCTTGAAATGTCTACCCGGGAGAGACCTTGCTGATGTTGTATAACTACCTTGTGTAAACTGTGTTTAGCAGTAGTCACCTTTAGTCACCTTGTTAGCTGAGTGTTTTATCCTAAAAATTGAATTGGTGATCATTAGCACCTGTTTATAACTGTTTAATCATACACCTACAAAATCCCTGACTTTGTACAAATGTACCTAGAAGAATCGATGGTGTTCAGACCAAATATTAATTTGATTTAGATTTTTCTTCTGTTCACTCACTTTGAATTGTGTTAACTTTATAGCATTTTTTCCACACCTGCCTAAAACGTTTGCACAGTACTGTATTATAACAGACTGATACACACAAACAAACCTTCACACAAATATCCTATCAAAAAAAACAAACAGTTTTCCTACCTTCTTGGCTTGCTGGACACAGGTCATGTACTGTTTGGCGAGACTAGAGCAGTGCAGGGTCTGCTGTGGATTTTCTGTGTAGCACTGTAACACCTTGGCCTGCAGCTCCGTGCACAGAGGCGCAGTCTGCCGAGGTCTAGTTAGAAATAGAGGGCAGAGAGGAGGGTCAGCGAGATTATGACACAGCACTGCCAGCTGAGAATATCTCCAGTATGTTCTCAAATCTGTCGGCCACAATTATAATGTTGTACATTTTTGACGGCTCATTGGATTGTCCATTTTAACAGAGCCTTTCCTGTTAGGCTAAAACAGGGTTTGTCTTGTACCAGGTGTTACTGGCAGTAGTGCTGCATCAATTGCTCAGTACTGACACAAACATCAACCAAAAATGACTCATTGATAAGCATTCTCCACTGTTGATTTAATGTCAGATATTTAGCTCTATTTCCTCTTGCATTTGATTGTGAAATAACAGAAGTGAAAAAGCTAAAGAAAAACAGTGCAAGGAATTCAGTAAAGAGCAAGAATCAAATTTGTATGTTTCATCATATCAGATTAATGCTATTGGACTCTTTTTCTTAACTTAAAGTGACATAAGTAACCTATTTACTAAAATAAAATGAGAACATTGCAGAACATAATTTGTTTTTATGTCGTAGTTCGCATAATTCGTATCGATTATAATAACTTTTTACTCACAAACTTCGAGCTGAAATAAGACATGGCCTTACTAGAAGAAGTACAATAGGTCATGGAACACAAGTGGTTGTAAACAGCCCTGAAGCTAAGCCCTGACCGAGGTTGTAAAAAAATTTAAAATTCCTGCAATGTTTAGACAAAGCACTGTAAAGCTGTCTCACTATCTGCTATCTCAAGATAACATAGTTTAAGTGCAGCTACAGTATATACCCATAGTTTCAGTCTCTAACATTGATAAACTGATAGAATGTCAGTCTTTGTCATTAATTTCCAATGTGATTGCCAAACAGAAATTTCAAAATCAGGTTTGCGCATATAAAAAAAAAAAGTAGTCACAAGTGACTAAATGTTGCTAAGTCCTTGAAGCTAGGCTTAGCTGAAACCACAGTAACACTAACAATGTCTGTTTTGTGTCATTAAATCTTATGAAAAGCAAAATAAAATACTAACACTTGAGCTTGTTTATGGTTTGTTTTCGTTGCAGTTGGAGCAGCTAAGATAGTTTCAAAGGCTTCAAGGTGCAGCCAGTAGAGAGAGATGAATTATGCATTGACAAAGCAGCTTAGGAGTCAAAGTCAAACTTTCCCTTTCCTTTTTATCTTAGTCACACATACAGTACATGTGTGTAGACAAAAGCACACAATCATATCCACACCCACAAACACACACACACACACACACACACACACACACACACACACACACACACACACACACACACACACATACGTACAGGTAGCGAATGCTAATCCTACATGAGGGTAATCCTTGAGTGCTCTGTTGCTTGTAGTAATTTACCTGCTGTTGTGACAGAACTCGTAACAGGAAGGATTGGGATATGGATATGTACATACACACACACACACACACACACACACACACACACACACAAAGACAAGACTTATTATTCACAGCACTGCATCCTGTACAACCTCAGCACACTCAGTCCACCAGCTAGAGAACAGAATAAAAACAGAATAGAATAAAAACACAAGACAACAGAACAGAATAGATTAGAACAGAAAAGAACAGAATAGTGACGACAAAACAATACCAACTCAAGGTCCATTAAGTTGTTCTTGGGCTCTCTATCATATCAGTTCCCATGAAATTAACAAGAAGTAGCGTCAGACCTTATTACCTTGTCTAGCATATGGAGGCTGGCCTGCAGAAGATCGTCAGTTGTCAAGTAATAACCTATTTAATAGAGGACAATTCACGGCACATGTATTGAAACAATGCATTCACTGTCCTCTATTAAATAGTATTATTGTATTTTAATATCCTACTGTTGCAATACATTTATTGTGAATCGTCCCCATAAATTATTGCATATACTTTTGAATATTTCAATATGCACATTTGCATGATACCTCAAATTCATTAATATTGATTACATTTTTTAACAGTTTCTTATTGAATTGTTGAAATTGTAATTATCCACCACATGATTATGCACTCTTTCTGATGACAAAATGTGCTTAAATTGATTATTAAATTGGAAAAAATTTAAATGAATTTCATAGGGCCCTAGAATAGGACCTCATCTCTGTGTGACACTAGGCAAGACCTCTTGCACACATTTATTAAATTAAGTGTTCGAAATGAACTTCCTGATATTATCCCGCAGTCATTTTTCAGCCTGTATACAACACCGTACTGTTAAAAAAAGGGAAAAAATGCAAGCAACAGAGAGGGGAAGAGATAGAATTAGTGTTCAATTTGATAAGGAGACGCATGACTTCATTTAACATGATGGGACATGCCTATTTATTTTGGGAAGCTGACCACCTGACATTCACATACGCAATCATGCATGTGCGCGAACACACACACGCACACACACAGAACTGCCCTCTTGCCATCCTTCAAAGCAATTACAGAATCATACATCCTTCACATATGAATGAGCTCAGTAGACCCTGCCTTCACCGACCAATACACACAATACATTTGTGTGCATGAATGTGAGAACTGTGCTTTGTAAATGCACTGCACGTGTGTGTGTCCACATGAGATAAAACTATGCACATGCAAGACTGTGGGAAAAATGTCTCTGCACTGGTATGTGTATTGTGTAGTGTTTGTGTGTGTGTGTGTGTGTGTGTGTGTGTGTGTGTGTGTGTGTGTGTGTGTGTGTGTGTGTGTGTGTGTGTGTGTGCTTGCGTGTGCAGTGGAGGGTGGAGAAACAGGATTAAATAAATCACTGGCGGAGAGAATATTCATGAAAACAGAAGTGAATGCAACCTGTGAGAGAGACAGAACGTGACAGTGATGTATTAAATGACAAATCACCCCTGCAGCTTGCATGGACAAACAGTAACCCATGGCAACAATCAAAACCTGCACTTTACCTCTGCCACATTGCGTGGTGCCACGCCACTCAGTGTTCAGACTGAATATTAGTGCTCTTTGCGTAATGTTTGGCCAACAGTCATTACTTTGGACACTGATAAGGTCCTATCAGGGTCAGTATAATTCACTGGCTGATGTTAATATGAGTTTTAATCATGTTAAAGCAAGCTGGATACACTCATCTTGAGTTATTATTACAATATGTAATAGCCTTATGTTTCAGGATATAGGATATAGGGCTGAATGGCTCATTAGTATTAAAAGGGACATCATGCCCACATTATATTGAAAGGAGAGGGTTTGTCATGGTCAGCTCTTGAAAACAGAGAATCTGTATTGTTGCACAGAAAATAAAGATGGTGTTGTTGTGCTGGTCAGTTTAAAATCTGTTGCCAAGAGTTTCAATCGCATGATTAAAATTATACGAGTGGTTGATGTTTGACTTCGCACTCTGACAGCTGGCCGACATGCCGAATTACTCCCTAAGAATAAAGAGATAACAGCAACAATAGCCTCAAGGTATTAATCCAAGCTCAAGGAAAAAAAAACTTTTCTCAATTCAACAAGAGAAACTTTCTGATAGCAGGAGTGTTTTAATAATGGAATCTGAAGCAGAAAATTGCCTCTGCTAATCTGCACCAACTGCCTCGTTTGACTGAAATTAGAGGTGAGCTCTTATTAGAAAAACATTAGCCGCCCCAGCTAGTTTGATAGCTAACTTTCGCAGGGAGAAGAAGCAAAACAACACTCCAATTGCTTTCTGCCTGTGACGTTTTGCATAAATACGTGCGGAGTTGGGGAAGAAAGATTAGGCTCAAATCGTTAAAGTTTCTCATTATTTTTTGTCTCACCTTGGCAGTGTGTGGTTTTTATGAAGAGAACGCGAGTTCTGCGCCACTGCAAAGCGTGACATTGGGGAATAAAGAAATATGAAGAAAAGGGGAAGATCGTAAAGGCGTAGCATTTTATTATTCTCTCTGTGTCTAAGTTGGTGTTGGTGTTTGTGTGTGAGCGGTTATTAATATATGATGACAAGGATTTGGGTTCATTTAAAGCAGCAGCCATGGCATTGTAGTTTTGGTTTTTAATATTACGCTGAGTGGAGGGGAAGAGAAGAGAGGATCAAAGGTGTCATGGCTGGGGTGAGATCAAAAGGAATGACAGAGCATGCATCTTGTATTGTTAGAGGCTTTGTGAGGCTTTTATGATAGTGCCACAAGGATAACATTCACAACATTACATTTCAACTGGCAGAAATCTTACTTTGAGAATCACATAAACTCAGAACTACAGATTTAGTTCATAAAGCCGGTGAAGGTCTCAGAAGCTAAGATTATTCTGGTAGTCATAATAATCACTTATCCTACCTTTGCTAAGCAATGCAGCACACTTAAATCCTAAACTCACATGTGACAATATGAAAACGCCCAGGAACTTAGCTAAGTTTAATCTCAACTCCACCAAAAGTCTCTGTCTCAAATGGGAATAGCAATCAAAAACAACTAAAAGCCATGGACTGCAGACAGACAGAACTCCGCCCGTATCTTCATACGCTGACAGCTGAAGTGCTGAAGGGAGATAGGAATGTAGGAGAACAATTCGCACTCTGTTAGCCTGGCTGATTGATCCCCACCAAACTCACTTTGTGGGAGTATAGGGAGAGAGAGATGGGAGGGGATAAGGAGAGTGTTTCATTAAAACAGGTGACATGCAGGAACAAGATAAGGGGCACATGTGCACGTGTGTTTGTGTGTGACATCTCATCGCTGATAACTTTTCAATCAGGAGACCTTGCGGTTGGACGACTCACTCGTGGGTGTGGGTGACGTGGGGTGAGACATGCTCTTTGGGGCATTTCGCTGCTATCAGCTTCCATCGCTAGCCCTTTTTTTATCGTCAACAATTTCAATTCCAGTTTTGTCATTTAATTTGTGAGGTCCTTTTCTTTAAACTTCACTTTTCTTTTGAAACAACTGTGTAGCTTTCAAATCCATAGAGCACAAAGAGAAATACAACATCGGAACACATTATTTTTGCACAATAAAACACACAGTTGTCACATTAATCTCTTACTTTGGCTCTCATAGAGGACCACTGTATTATATACAACATGATGCCTGTTACACTGCTTGGCAAAATGAGCGTTAGGTAGCCCTGTTGCCCTTGTCCTTTGTGCCAATATGTAAATCGCTACATGAAATTGTTAAATACTTATGTTTCCATTAGCTGTCTTTACAGGTGATATGCCAGTTTGATTGCTGTTTTTCTGTTATGGTTTTGCTATATCGTATTTTTGGTTTTATTTATCCATCGCCATGTGTTTACTCACTCCCTGTCTCTGCATTTTTCCCCTATTCTCTGTCATATGTTTTCTCCTTGTCATGATTCGTTCGTTCATTGTTTCCTGTTTTATTTTGAAGTCGTTCTCCCCCTGGTGTTGTTGTCTTGTTTTTCTTCCTGTCAGTGTTGATCTTCTAAGTTTTTTCACCTGCGTCTCGTCGTCTTTAGTCCACCTGTGTGTATTTAAGAGGTTGTCTGTCTGTCACTCTTTGCGGGCCATTGCTCATACCATAGTACATACCAGCGTCTCAACCTGTGTTTCCTCAGATGTCTCGTTTCCTGCTTAGTCCCACGTGTCTCTCAGTGTTATGTGGATTACACCCTATTGTTTGGATATATGGACTCTCACCTGTTTAACTGTTTGGATTACTGTTTTAACATTTTTGGACTGCCAACTTCACCACACCTGTAAGTTTCACCTTATTATTACTTCACCTATTATTATTATTTTTAATAAATCACGTTAATCATACCTCCTCATACATGTCTACGTTTGGGCCTGTTTCTCGTGTCAGAGTGATGGCTGACAGATTCCTGTCTCTGCATGCTGTGACTGTCAAATAAAAAGAGGCAAAACACCAAAAGATGTCTTCACGACCCAAACCAAATAGACCCAAGGACTAAATGGACCCAATTCAAAATGTGGTTGACCCGGACGGACTCAAACAGAGAACACAAACACTGGCAGCAGCAGTATGATGGGCCACCAATTAGCAAGCAGCAAAGGTCAAAAAGAGTAATGGGACATCATTTTCGCTACACCGCACACTCTGTCTTGGGTCGGACCTCGGTTACCAAGAATCACGTGGACCTGTGAAGACAGCTAACGCTTAAACCAGTTCCAGTCAAGTCTTGTATTTTTACTTTTACTGTAATGGAAAACAGACGTAATCTAATTCTTATATAAATGACTTTTCACATAAACATAATAAAGGTTTAATGCAGCAGTGGTGACATATTTGCCAGTGCTGCCGTTGTCGATGGAATGTAGTTTTCTCTCCTGTCTACTGTAGCTGCACAGACCAAATCTGACCTGTCTGTCCTGTGTGTGTGTAGGTGTTTCTTAATATATACTGCATAGAGGCAGTCAAAGAGATGTACACAGAGGCAGAGTGTGTAAGTGACTGCAGCCTTCTGTCTTAATGGTAAATCTCTGTTGGACCACAGATCAGACAGGTCTTGTCACACTTAATGACTAGCAGTCTACTACTGTGGGGCACAGAGATCCTTACTGTTAGCTACCTGTCTTTTTCACTAATTGGACACGCTACCCACATACACACTAGAATAGACACATATACAGAATAAAGTAGACATAACAAACCCACACGAAAGCAGGCTTTTAACTACAAACTGTCAGCAGTTACTTCATGGTGAATCCTCACACAGACATCCACCTGAGGTTCACTTAGGTTCTGTCTTTGCTAACACTTTGAGGGGAAACAGGTTTTTTTTTTAAGAGGATTAATGGATTCTTAGATCTTAAGGTAAGCTCAGCTGAAATGTTGTGGGTCTCTTAGGTGAAGTATTTTGGGGGAATATGGTAGTCTGATACCCCAAGGCAAGGCTAATGGATGAACTTCTCTAAAATGCCCCATGTAGTTGGGCAAGGCAAGTAGAAAATGGCACTAGATAACATTTTACCACTAACTATGTCCCTACTTGGGGACAATATTTTAGAGAGTGTGACCTGTCCAACATAGGAAAAGAGAGGCAATATCCCAGGGGGCTTCCGTCCTGTTGCCCTCCTATCAACAAAGTACCCTCCTCAGGTGTGTGAGGCAGCTTTTTGCACTCAAACTATTTACTATTATAATATTTTTCTTTTAACCTGACTTTAAGCTTAGGCTCACACCATCTCTTCTTCTTTTTTCACACCCTCAAAAAAAACCCCACAAAGACAAAAGTTTCAAGGACAGCAAATATAGGGAGGCAAGGTTATAACCATGGGCAGAGAAATAACAAGAGGGTGAGATAAATAGATAAATGATTTCAGAATTAAGAAAATTAAAAAATATAAGAGTGATTCTGAACTGGAGACAGAGACAGATACAAAGACAGAAGAAAAAGACATACTGTAGCTACATGATGTGTTGGACTGTGCTGCAGCCCCCCCACCCCACTGCTCCCCCTCTCTTCAGCAGTGGGTAAATAGAATAATTACTGGGTGGTCAGTGTAGTGTGAAATGACAGCGTGACCACGGCACAATGAAACGTTGCCCAAATGCTGACAGAACATGACGAGCACATGGCTGCCTGAATACAAAATGTGCCTGTATGTGTGGCAGAGATAGAAAAGGGAAGAGGGGGAGCGAAAGTTTGTGTGCACGAGTGTGTGTGTGTGTGTGTGTGTGAGCACACGCACTTAAAAATAACGAGCAACACATTGTGGCGGGACAAAATGCTCTTCTTTCGGAAAACTCGTGCTGAATTGATCTTCTAACCTCTTCCATGCAGCTATGGACAATAGCGAATCCTTACTAATGTAATCATTTGGACAAAATTTTGGACTTGAATTGTATGCTGTTAAATTCAATGGACCAGGTGCATGAAAATGGCAGTGTCGTGGATGAGGTCACTGCCCATCATACAGTGCAAAGATAGCAAAAAAAGACCAAGCATCTACTTTTTCTCCCTGCTGTTTCCAAGGAATGCACTAGACTGTGTGCTACTGCACTACTGACTTAATAATAACCTTCATACATTTGCTTCTAGGACAGCTACCTTTTTATATTTTTCCTTTGTATGACAGTTTAAATAACAGAGAGGGGGATGCCATGCCACTGAAGTCCTTATAGATTTGAAGGTTGTCTTTTCAGGGTACAGCACCTAAACTCACAAAGCCTAGTCATGCAAAGTAACAAACTGCAACACTGTAAACTGTGACTTTTTATCATTTCCCACCTTGTTAGGAAATGACAGTGATATTGATGCTAGTGATATTGTAGGGAAGTTGCTTAGAATTCAATTACGCCTATCACATCAACAAACCCTTTCATTACTTGACCCACAAATGTACCTTCATTATTCAATGGAAAGGTCTCAGACTAATCAACTTAAGTTAAGAGGAGGAAGAAAAAGGTGTTTCATCAATCAGGATTAATCATTTCAGACACTGCTACTAAAATATCAATGCAAAACTTATTACTCAAACCAATATTACATGATGACTGTTTTGTTTGTTGTGTACTAGGTGGATCTCATGAGGCTTGGATACCTTTAACACTGCTGGCAGCAGAGGGAAAATAGGTGGCTCCAACATTATGACTTTTACCGGTTTTGTCTTGGTGGTGTTTAAGAGTAGTTCAGGTTTTAAAGGTGCATAGTAAGACATAAGCACAAGGGCAGAAAAGCAAAGGCTTTATGTGTTAATGAAAACCAAAAGGTGAGGAGTGAGCATGTGAGAATCACAGTTAAAAATAAAAGATCTGAATTAATTAGCCATCTTTCATCGGTTTTGTGATAATCATTGTCATGCATGCGGGAAAAGGGAATACAAACGGCTTTCTGACTAAATTGGATTCACAGAGCTCTTTGGCTCTCTCCCCTTCCAAAATGGGGTGAGAATAGGTGTTATAGTGGGGCGTAAATTGGCAAGGCCCACACACTCTGGCACTGCCAGTATGGCAGTGGTTCAGTGTTGAATGAAGCTGACATGCTTTTAGACAACAGGTGAGGTCTGAACTCCATCCCAGAGGAGCATCTCAGCTTCTTGTGAAATCCTGATCTTTCTGTTTTCCTACCAGCAGAATGGGGCTCTATTATAATACGCACTGGACAGAGTGGCAAGAGTCCCAATTTGCCACAAGAATGTATCCATTATTGTACAAATATATACATAAAAATCTAGCGCCCATTCACAGACGAGAATGCATAGTCCAAACCCGTAAAGCAGCTTTACACAATTCAAGTTGTCTCTCTGTGCACTGGGAAGAACACAGTGGAATAAAAACAATGACAATGATATATTTATATCATATATTTAACAATCTTCCCTTATCAAATAAAGCAAGAAAAAGAAAGCAGTAGACTTAAACAGAAACACGGGGAGTACTTCATCTGTTAGGCAATCATAGCTTCATTTTCTCAGAATGAATGAAAAAAACATGTGTTAAGATAGGTGAAACTAGATTGGTGCACGTAGTTAATATACTTGGAGAGAACACCAAACAGCACTGGGTGAGTATATAAGTAAGTAAGTATTTAAACTCTCATGCTGTGATAGACGTCAGCAGGATTTAACTTATCATTCATTTCGAGAGGAAAATGGTGAGCACTGATATGTTAATATGAGAACTTTGTCACAACACTTTTATATGGGAAACGAGAAGTGATAATAGTAAATTATCACCTGGCCTCATCACTGTATGTGTGGAAAACAATGTTTTGACTGTCAGGCAGCTACATATTAACAATATGCTAACATTGCAAACAGCCTTCACACGCAGGTCTCTGCCCGCATCTGCTTTCTGACAACTCTGTGGACATCCTGCTAGTCAGAGCTGGTTTCTTTTTGTTATCCACTGAGCTGGGGTTTTTTTCTTACTTGGCATACAACGGGCCTGCTTCACTATGTGCGGAGAAATGTTCTTCTATTGCGCACAAAATAAGTGTGCAGGCAAAATTATGTGAGTCATGACACGTGCGCATCCGACAATTTTGTTCTTACCACCATGTCTATGTTAGTGAATCAGAATCAGACAATTGACAGGTGCGCACAATTTGCAATCAGCATTCTGCCACTCCTCCAAATACATTTACCTAGAGGTGTTTTACATAGGAAGTTGTAGTAAGAGAGAAGCATGTCCCCTCAATTAAAAAAAGCAAAAGAATTTCACAACCGAAGAAAGTGAAACAATAGTGTGGCCAAAATGTGGTGGCCAGAAAAGGCACGTTACCGGTATATTACACATCATAGGCCACGTCAATGAAAACAATGAAAACCAAAACTGTTACATTTCAATGTGGACATTTTCATTTACTCCACTTTAAGCTAGGACTGGGACATTCTCTGAGGCACAATTTCATGCTTATTAAATACATTTGGCCAATGCATTAGTAAAAAAATTAAAAGGTGTGTGTTTACATTTATTAAGATAGCTGTGCCTTCATCATTTGTGTGTACGCATGGTCTGAGGCAGTTCTAAATTTGTTTGCAGAGTACAATCAAATTCAGCTAAGATATTATTATAGAATATTACAGTTTGTGAATGAGGCCCAAAGTCTTAGATTTTGCCAAGATATGTAGGGCTTACATAGAGAAAAACTCTATTTACTTTAGTGTATTCAGTAACATGCCTTAGCCGATGATAGGCTCATAAAAAAATAACAGCACTGACGCAGTTAAGTACCAACAATGCGATGAGTATACTGAATGGTCCATTCCACAGAAAATGTATTTACCGTATGTGAGCCTCAGCTTTTGTAGCTGCCTCGTTGTACTGTTCAGCCGTCTGCTTGTAGTTGTCAAGGTTCTGGAGGCAAAGAGGCAGAGAGGGAAAGAAAGGTGAGAATCGATTCAGGCATATGTTACAGCTCTGCAGAAGTTCTACTTCACTTTCTAGTTTGAATATAAAGTGGGCTGCTCAGGCATATGCTGCCTTTAATGATGAGGCACCTTGTTCTCTGGCTCCAATTTTCAAAACATAAAAAAGAAGACAAACTATGTTAAAGTCCTCAAATCAAGTCCCATGAATTAGAGCTTAACAGCTTGCATTATCTACATACTATTACCACAGTAACAACAATTTTTTTTAGCTTCAATTCAATCTCTAATAAGCCAACGATGATAAGCAAAATGCATAAAGCATCGGAAATGTCACATTCGTTAAATTAGTGACCTTTGAATTTTACAGCGCTGCTTACAAATCTCAATGCTGATGGCCTGCTGGTACTTCATAATGTTTTATTTCATGCGAAAAACAGTGGCATTTAAACAGCAATTACTTCACAGATGGAGCCCATGCCTAGAGGGCAAGGTCACATACAGCACACCTCTACTGGAGTAATCAGTGGTCAGAGTGTAAACTACTCGGCATCATGTCAGAGCTGCACACAAGGTGATACACTGACGTGTCAAGAGTTTAAGAAGTTTAAATAAAAAAAGGTGTGTATTTTCCAGCCACAGTATTGAGAGTATGTTTAAAATAATTTGCTCTGTAAGATAAATTATCACATTACAGGCTTTGCGTCAAAACATATGAAATACAGTTTGTCTAGAAAGCCCCAAACACAAACCAAATCTCTCTCACCAACCTCTCATACACATTCACTGCGCAGTAATCACAATTTTAAACCAATAACAGCAGTGCTCACGCTTTTACTTAATTATTCCCTATATTCCCAATAGATGGGAAGATAGGAGAGGAAGATAATTGAAGTGACTGAGTAGGGAACGAGATGGGATCAAACACAAACCTCCTCCACAATCCCTAGCCCTCTACTCCTTCAGGGCCCCCTAGTCATTTTCATATCTCATTTTTGACGCTGATCCGCAGACATGCCTCTCCTGATCTGAATGTCTGGTGCTGGAAAAGACTCAAGTAATGTCAAAGGCATATTTTTTCCTTAATCCTATCTGCAAGTATTCACCACAATGTAATAATCTGCCCCTCTATCCTTTTCTTTCCTGCTCATTAAAAGACAGTAAAATATAAGTCATAAGTCTTCTGAAGGAGGAGAGGGTATTTTGCCCTAGCACAATCAGTAGTGTTGAAGTATCCGCTAGTCAGTTTCAATTATCACGGAAACTCTTGCAGTTGATTGAAGAAATATGCCATTTTAAGAGTTGTTATTTCTGTAAGTGGACTTAACAACAAGTTATATAACAGTGTTGATCTCTTTCACATTTTTGTGGTAATTTTTCTGGCTTTGGTGCAGAAAGATGGCCTCATTCTTGATTATGCCTACAAAGTTTGGAGTGGCGAGATTGCTTCTCCAACTGGGGAACAGAGAATTAGCAAGACACCTATTTAAATTCTTGAATTCAGAAATGTGGGCAGCAATTCAGAGACCTGGAACCAGGCTAGAGACAACATACAGTAGAAGAGAAATTCATAAATGTATCCAACTACAGTTTACCTTTCTTATCTCATCTGAGTTTGTTTTGGCTCTCACATAATTCACAATGTGGAAATGCCAAACATTCAGAGGTGTAAGACTTTATCCCTGCCAGTTATGTCTCCTAGCTGTGTTATATTGGATTTTCCAGGACAGGACTCAGGATTAGGCTCCTGTTGCTGCTAAATCTCTCCATTGCTAATGTGTGGACTAGAGCCCTTTTCATACATAGTTCCCAGTAAATTACTGGGATTACCGTTCAGGCACCGCTAGTGATTTTCACTACTCACAAATGCAGCTTCATTCAGGAACATTTCAGCCTCGCGCCTTTTCACATATGCCATGGCAGTGCTGGAATAGATGGAGCAAGGGACATTGTAGCGGCAATGCAAAACCTATGGATGTCAACAGCAATAAAACTCAACAGAAGGTGAAGATGGGGTATCTCATAGATCTCATTATTTTCAGAAACATTCAGAGCGAGGATTTGTTTTCGGTGCTCTTGTAATGTAAAACCGTACCCAAGTCGCAGATTCAAATACGTGAATGCGTATTTTGTCTGATGGACTTAACCCTTTATGTGCTTGTCTCTGCAGTGTTACTACTTTCATTCACAACACCGGCATAAAGGCATTTCCCTGATAAGTTACTAGGACCTGAGGCGAGAAACTGGAGGAACAGATGTCCCACAGATGTGCAGAAAATGTTCCTGAACAAAGATGGTTAGACTGCTTGTGTGAAAGGGGTTTAGGCTACAATACCACACCTCAACAGTGGGTAAGGACAGCAAGTACACTTGATCTCAGCATTATGTACCTCTGGAATCGATGACACTGTGAGACCTAAGGACCCCTTATCAGATCGCTGATTAATATACCAAGCATTTAACATTACCAATAAATAGCTTAATTTGAAAGTGCTGGAAACCAAGCCCTGGAATCGTGAACATTAAACAGAGATTAAGTCTCACTTCATGTTGGAGAGTTAGCTCATGTGTTGGCTGGCTCCCTGGGAATATGTGGTAAGAAGTTAGCCACATGTTAGCGACTTAGCCTTTAGCCTAAAGTCAAGGGCTCAGTGGTTACCCTCAATAGAGGAAAGCGGAGCTGAAACTTGAAAGTCTGTAGTTGCCTTGTGGGAAATCCAGTGTTTGAGCGAAGATAAAAAAGGCTCCACAAGGGCTTAGACCCATGGGTGTCTCAGATTATGCAGGACATAGGGAGTAGGGCACCAGGAATGGAAGCAGCAAGCAGATGGTTTAAAGGTAAAGCGAACTTCTCACTGATGATAGGTGTATCATACCGTGGCTCTGCCTTTAGGGTTTGGAAGGGTCGGGCAGTGGCTGATACAGTGCCTCCCAGTCGGAAGAAGATAAAACAAATGAATACATTAATGGTGGGAAGCCAGTGAGGAATATTCTCTTTTCCAGTTCCTGCATCCCAACCCTTTTTCTAGCTTGTACCCTACCAAAGAGAGAGTTAGCTACAGGAAGGAATATTGTAAAAAAAAAAAGGAATTGGTTGATGTGTGTGAAAAGGTAAAAAAAACAAACACAGTTACAACCTTAAAATAACATCATCTGGTTTGGAATTACAAACTGCAACTTCATTGTAAACATTGTCTAAAATAGATTAAATTAGATGACATAGATTTAAATATAGATAAATAGATAGATTATACCCTATGTGACAGATGCTCTTCTCCGTATTGTATGCAGCACTTCTCCATAATGATAAAATCATAGAATTCCGGTAATTTAATGATATGCATTGGAGACAAATGTTTTATTGGTGAAATTGACCCTATTGCCTGAAATCCGTGCTTTGGACCTTGTTGCCTAGTTTGGTAAAACTTGGTCACTAAAAATATTCTCTCTGCCATGACCCAAGTCCAACACAAACTTCGTGCTCTGGAGAGATTCACATTTCCCGTTCTGCCCAAAGCAGCTTGTCTCTCTCTTACATACTAAGTAAAAGTCAAACAATTCTAGGTTTTTTGTCCATGTAGATTTACAAAATTGGCAGTTTGATGGTTATGGGAGACATGTTGTACCAGAAGTTAGTGATATAACTATCATGTCTCTGGTCTTGCTAATAGAGCAAGAGAATATGAGGAAACTGATGAGAATGGAAGTGTTGTGTTTGAACTGGTAGCTTATCCAGTTGAAATGTTGGGGGACCGCAAGGCTGTGTGTTGTTTTTGTGTGTATCAACATGTTTTTTGGTGTCTGTTGACAGAACAGACCCAAAGCAACAGCCCCAGCTCAGCTCTCATGACACCAGAGAAGTGGCAGCATTATCACTGGCACACACACTCTGAGCTCTTCCCAGTCATTTGCACCCGTGGGGACAAAAGCCCAATGTGGAAAGACAGAAAGGGGGGGGGGGGGGTGATAACCCTCAATGAGGGAAAGCAAGGTTTTGGGGGTGTTGGAAAGACTCGTGAAAGGGATTAGTGTCGGTGCATGTGTGCTGCGTGTGTTTGTGTGTGTGTAAGCTTGCATACATGCAGGTGTGTGACTAAATCGGTGTTTGTACGTGAATGCTGGTGTTCAGATGATCCTTGCATGCACACGCGTCTGAACACCCTCCAGCAGCTGTGGATTGAGATGGGCTGATGTCAGGTTTTTTAGAGAGGGGTTGTTTCACGCTCCACGCTTGGACGAAGGCGGATTAATTTTGGCTTTTTTTTCTCTGAGACAGCAGTCACCAAGTCGGGGGGGGGGATTAAAAGAGGTGAATTTTAAACTGAGACTTGTTTACAGAGTCACAGGGTATGTTGCCACAGGGAGACAGATATACTCCACCTGTACATTGGGAAGAGATTAGGGAGGCATCGACAAATAAACGAGAGAGAGAGAGAGAGAGAGAGTGAGGAGGATTGGGAGAAGAGGAGAGGATGTACTGGTATGTTTGGAGGGTGTTTCACTCTTGGGATGTCTTTCCGTGTGTGAACCTGTATTTGTGTGTGGAAGAGGGGGAATGCAAAGCTGTACAGTCGATTGGCCACTCTATCACAATTACTTCTGAAGCGACAGCATACACACCAACCTGTCACAATAAACATACACACACACACACACACACACACACACACACACACACACACACGACTGTTTTCATCGTCAGTAGGCAGTAGTGGACTCAAACAGCATCCACAGCCTTTAAACAAACACAATAGTCTGTTATTGTCATTCATCCCTTAGGCAAACTGGGCACCAGAGTGTGTTTGTATGTGTTTTCATACAGGTAATCAACCACACACACACACACACACACACACACACACACACAGTTATTAGCTGTGGGGCTGCTGCTAAGCCAGAGTAAAATGTTGATTCAGAAGAAGATCACACACCAATTACAAGTGGATTCGTCTTCTAATCTGGCTGCTCTTACCTTTGGCTTAAATCTCTGCCTCAGATCATCAACACATGCAAACAGCACAAATGCATGAGTGTGTGTTTGTGCGTGTGTGTTTTTTGTACAAAAAAACAAAGAACTGCAAACGCTTCGCCCTCTGAGATCATCTGAAGAATAAAAAGCACAGACTGATATTCATTCTTGGTATGGTATGACAATGTTATTCATCCCCTTTAAATCTCTGCTTTGCATTAACAGGTTCTAACACAATAGCGATGGCCCTGACAGAGCAATGTAAAGCTGCCTTCACATGCTTGGATCATAATTTATGTAAAAAGTAAGTAAATTGTGTTTGGGTATTTATGTATATGACCTGTGTCAGCCACAATTCCAATTTTAAGAGGCCATTTATTTCAGCCCAACTTGTATTTGGCCACAGGTATGAGAGAGTGAAAGGAAGAAAAATAGGCATAGCAAAGGAAAAAGGGGCATGAAAGGAGGCCTGGATGAATGGAGTGCTAGATTGGAAAATGAAGGAAGAGAAGGACGCCAGCTCAGGGCGCCAGCTCAGGATAGACTTTCTGTTTAATGCACAGTCCATATAGCCTCTTTATCTCTCGCTCTCAGTCCCCCCCTTTCTCACTCCCTCATCCGCATGCAGGTCAGCTGTAAGCAAGTGAGGGGTGGAAAAAAGCGATAGAAAAAGCAACTGCTGCGGCGAGCAGAGAAAGATAGAGCATCCTCCACTCTTCTGCCAATCAGTCTCTTCCGTCAAGCATTGCAGCGTGTGCTGCTTGCCGCACGGTGTGCAGGGGCCCTTCTATTTAACTTGGCTATGTAAAAGGTTTTCTCAGAGGCCTAAAGGAGGTGAGTGCCAGCAACTAGATAAGGTCCCCCGTCTGCCTGATGGGCCCTGCTGGACGGAGGGAGAGACGGGGAGAGGGGCGAAGGGGGAGTCAAGTCCCAAAGAGTGTCAACTGAATACTGGAGGGAGAGTTGTGGGTGTGCTGTGAGAGGGGAGTGTGTATGTGTGTCTACCTGTACCTTTTTTTTACTTAACCTACATTCTTTGTTGATCGTTTTTCAGTGTGCTTGTCATCTGTGTTCTGATAGTTTTCTGTGCTTTCTTTACTTCCCTTGCACTGTGTAATTTTACTCTTGTCCTTCCTCCTCTTTCTACTCTTGTTCTTTCTAGCCTCTATCCATCCCTAAGAGCACAAAGCAGTTTTTCCCCTGCCCAAAAATCATACAATCGTCAACCATGCTCCTTACAGTCTTTTAATAAATCTGCCCAAGTTTACTCTGTAAGCAAGAAACATTTACCACTGTGCTTGTGCCTTTTACAGGGTGCAAAATATCAACAACGCATTAGTGCTCAGGTGGAGGGAACACCAGTCATAATTTCTTAAAAGCACCCAACAAACGGCTTTTATTTTTTCTATTTTTTGAAAAGACCACGGGGTTGCTGGCAAAAGGACATAGTGATGAGAAAAGCACAGAACATTTGATTAGACATCCGAAAGCTCTCTGAGAGAGACAGCGCTACGAAACCTCTCTTGAGTGCTGGTCCATCAACAGTGCGTCGTGACTCTTATCTGCCTGGTGAAACTTTCAATTCATTTACATTTACATTTTGACATTGGTATGTGGGCTTGACATTTCAAAGATAGGGAAGAGTGTCTTGTGTCTCAACAAGATTTTACTCTCCAAGGAGAGTGAGTAATACGTCACTTTAAGACTTGTTTTGATATTCCTGATGTGTTAAGACTTCTTTTCAGTGAAAGCCTGCAGGATGCTTTTATCTCGTTAGTGAGGTCTCCTGTTATACATGTCAAAATTTTAAAGTGCTAGTATCTCGCTTTCTAAACCCCCACAAAATAACTCCAAAGAAATTATGGAAGAAGATGCACAGTCTCATTGCTTTACATAAGGTAATGTCTGCACTTCTATCATTTCACACAGCATGGTCTCAACGTTTGGGGACCATCAATATAACAAAAATTATTTTGATCAAACATGTTGGAAGGCAATTAATGTAATGCAACTAATGGACACATTTAGGGAAACCTGTTTATAGAAAAAGCCTTTCAGATGGATTCCGGATATTTCCTTTTAATGTTAATGCTTATAAGATGAAGAAATGGCCCTTACCCTTTTCTCTAGTATTTCTAGTTGCTCTTTATAGAAGCTGGAGATGCTGGCCAGTTCCTTCTCCTTCCTCTCCAGTTGTTTGGCCTGTGAAAGAGGAAGAGAGAGTAGAAGAAGAAAAGAAGACAATAAAATGGCAGAATATGAAGAATAGCTGTTGGAGAAGTTCTTTATATTGATACATAACAATTTACTACACTGATTTGACCTGGGTAGGCTTGCGTAAATATTCAATTCTGACTGCCGGGTAAATAAAGAGGAGAAGGAAATCAATCCAGGCACTAATTAAAATTTTTAATTTGGCAATTCTTTAATTGACATAGTTACTAAGTGGGCAAAATGATGCTAAAGGTAATTGGCTAAAACAACACATTTGCTGATGAGCACACATGGGACACCAGCCAGAGGTGACTGATGAGGAGAGAAGAAACAACTAGTGTGGTTTCTGATAAATAGAAAAATAGAACCTCAAAGACGATGAATACTCATCTCACCTATGATAAAAATATTATTCAAAGTATCAATCAACTCGACTTCAAACTGTAGTAAAAATCAACCACCACTCACACAAAAACGTTAATTAAAATAAAATCAATCACAAATCAAATTACTATACTTTACTGCATGCTACATTTTACATGACCCTTTTGCCATAGCAGTTACTGGAACTATCTACGATCTATTACTGTGTAATCATGAAATAAGCACGCAATTGAGCTACTGTGTCAGCTCAAGCACTACCACATATGTACAGTACAGACGCATACCGTATTTTTTGCATATGCAAGCAAAATGCACACTAAGCTACGAGGAAGATTAGACACATCTTTTCTGCTGCAGTGAGCAAACAAAACATAAAACAGTTTCTGCTAACAACGGGTTAATGGCACTGACATTTTAGGCGACCATAGTAAAAATGATTATACCCTCCCCAAGTCTGTGCGTGGACAGAGCATCAAATTGCAGGTTCGTGTTTTTCAAAGCATTATTTTTGTAACTTTTCACCTCATACATCCACTACTCCATGGATACATCAAAAATCTATGATGTTTCATGGAGATCTATAATATTTTGAATAGTACATCACATCTAAACCTAGTAAAACACAAAAGAATAGCTATTTAATAGCGGGTCAATGTAATGTAACAAGACTTACAAAACTACCCAGGAAGCATGTGACTTTTACAGCGGCGACTGGAGCTTACATGGCGATGCTGGCGTTAGGATGAGGTGAAGCGCTTTAATATGCCTGCTGAGCCAAGCTTTGACAGACAGCAAGATGGCAGATTGGCTGTAGGAAGACCCATAGTTTGGGCCATGGCCATAGCAGCATGCAAGCAGAGGAAGACAGGAGGCAGACGTCAAAGATATGTGAAACTGTAATAACAAGTTGCCAGTTCAGCTGGAAGTCAGAAAGATACGTGCACTAGGGATTTTAAATTAAAGATTCACTTTTGAGGAAAGATTCACTACAAGATGTTTAAAGATGAGTTTCGTGATGGACCAAATTGTTTTAACAGCATGAGGCTTCACAGTGTGTCAGTGTCATTATGCAATTTCATAAAGTGGAATGAAAAGGGATTATTTTACGATAAATATTAATTAAAATAACAGAGACAGAAAAAGACTATGGACGAGCTATTGCAGAGCCGCAGAAAGAAGAGAGAGGGATAGTCAAAGGAGATGTGCACTGTCAAGACATCAGTGTAGGTGACTGACAAGCAAAGCACTGTGCCGTGATCCTTTACCATGCCATCAGCTCAATGTTTACACTCGCTGTGCTTTACTAATCCAACTATAATAATAATAATAATCTTAATTTAGATGTCTCAATCGCAATATTGCAATGAAGATTTCCTCTTGGAACATAAATGCAGCATGCACGTATCCATTTTGCATGAACAGTCACAGAGTGATGTATTTTGCAATAAATAAATTAGTGCAGTAAATCTATTTTCAGAAAACATACCATATACTGTATTCAAACTGACCAGTTTGAGCTAACTCAAACTGAACTGAATGGCAGTGAGCTGAATTAAACTGATACAATGAAAACCCTGTGGACTGGTTTAGGATCTTGGTGTTTACACGCATCTGGCAGAAGTTTCGTCATGCTGTGGAAAGTATGCAGCGGATCAAAGAAGGCCCTCAGCAGCTGTAAATCTGAATCACATATGTCTAAAATGCATAAAAGGATAAGCAGCGTGCACATAGAGTACACAAGATGGTTGAAATCTCTTCAGCATGTTCAAGGAGGGTTAAATCAAGGGCAACTGGACTATGTTGAAGATACTTGAAGACGCTTCTTCTGAACTGAAGAAGCCTCTCGGATGAAAGGCGAAACGGGCTTCTTCAGTTCGGAGTATCTTCAACCTAGTCCAGTTGCCCTTAATTTTAACCTTCCTTGGACGGCTGAGAACCTTCACAGACTCTTCAACGTGCACACACTTGATCTGAAGAGGTTTACATATATTTGCCTTTTAGACCGATTTCAAATCTCCCATATCTTAGCAAAATAGAAAATCTAGTTTTTAATAAGATCAGTACCATTTTGTATATTCAGTCCTGTTTTAGGACACATCACAGCACACAGATAGACCTGCAAAGTACTGGATGATAACAGGACAAATCATGACAATAACAAGTCTTCAGTTCTGGTACTAACTGACTTAAATGCTGTCTTTGATACTGTAGACCACCAGATCCTTTTAGATAGATTAACCAAGCATGTTGGCCTTTCTGGAAATGTTTTTAACTGGTATACCTCATATCTTTGCGGAAGAAAATCTTATGTATCTATAGATGACCACTCCTCCAAACATTATTGGTTTACCTGTGGGGTCCCACAAGGATCAATATTAGGACAATTTCTTTTTGATGTGTACATGCTACCCCCGGGCAGTGGCAGGACGAATGGCAAGTCTTTCCGCAGCTAAACCTCCAAACAAAATACACTAGTATCCAACCCAAGCCGGGAAGCAAACAATCTAAGAGTGATTTATTCTGAATTTTTTTTTTTATCTAGGCTCATGTGCAGGGTGTCACAAAAATAGCATTTTATCATTTGAAGAACATATCGAAAGTAAGGCCATTTCTCTCTGTGAGCAACGCAGAGAGAGAGATGCACACTTTTATAACTAGCAAGCTAGACTAATTTGTCAGCTACGATTAATTCAAAATTCTGCTGCACCAGTGCTGACTAAGACCAAAAGGAGAGCACACATTATGCCTGCTTTAAAGTAATTACACTAGTTACCTGAATTTAAAATGTTTAAACTTTTATTAGTTTATAATGGCCTTGCACCAGACTACCTAATGCTTTTGGTTTATGTACTAGGATGGCCCCTTAGATCCTCCGGTTCTTGTTTTTTTAGCTGTACCACAAAGCAGAAAAAAAACATTTCGTGATGCTGCTTTCAGCCATTACCCTCCAAGCCACTATAAAAGCCTTCTAGAGGATCAGAGAGGGGCTGAAAATATTGATTATTTTAAATGCAAACCTAAAACCTATCTATTTTGTCTGTCTTTTATGTAGTGTTTGATAATGTTATGGTTTAAATTTTATTTACTATCATCATTACTGTTTATTTTATTCTATTTTGTTCTATCACCGTTTTACTGTTTTACCATAATGAATTCGTTTTTTTTTAGTTTATTTGTATTGGGATTTTTATTGCTTGTATTATCTTTTATTATTTATCTTAACTTTTAGTATCTTTTATTGTTGTCTAAGTCAACTTTTTTTTTTCTTGGTTGTTTTGGTGTGCATTAGTCTCTGAATCCGTTTTTTCAATCTTGTGCTTGTATTGCATTTGATTTGTTTCAAAGGTGCTATATAAATAAAGTGTGATTGATTGACTGATTGCATATTAAAATGATTATCAATCAGCGCCAGGACACTCACAAACACATATTGTTTTTTGTGAAGCTGTGCTACAGCAGTATGAACATGATATGGTGCATGAACACAATGAAGCTGGCAGGGAGTGAGGCAGCAATGGGGCATGGATTTATGCAGCATTACAAAAAGAAAGTGTGTTGTTACAAACATACACCCAGGCCCACACACACATACAGTGTTATGGCATGGTGTAATGGGGACTGATTGCTGTACCAGGTTTTGCATTAGTGAGTGTGATATAGATCAGATGGAGCAACAGCGTCTTCCCTGTATGATCTGCTGATCTTCTGTGCTCTTTGCTGACACACACACACACACACACACATACACACCCACACATCCACACTCACTAACAAACAGATTGACATTACATTTATTGTAATCCATCCTAATCTTATCCTAAGTTAACACGCACATGCATCCCAAAAGACCACATGTGCAAATCCCTATACTGTGCTCACTGCACTTTTCCTTTCTACAGCGGCTGTTTGATGCTTAAGGGCTGTGTGTGTGTGTGTGTGTGTGTGTGTGCATATGTGTGTAAAATCACCTCTGCAAGCAGCACAGATGATGTGTAATTTTCTAGCTGAATACCTCCCAAAGTGTTGTTGTGTGGAATGGTGGCGGCAGCGCACTCACAGCCTCGCTTTAATGCACAATGAAAACATGACATTTGAATAGAGAAGAGAGAGAGAGTGAAAGAGAGAGAGAAAAGACGAGGTAGAAAGAATGAGCAAGAAAAACTGAGTAAAAAAAAAAGGAGGCGGCAGCAATGGTAGTGTTGCTTACCCAGGCATCGAAATCTGCTGGCTAGGAGAGAGACAACGAAAAGGGGTTAGTGAGACGGTAGAGGGTATAAGGAAGGCACAGGGTTGGAAGAGATGGTGATAGAGCAAAGAGGAGAAGGATAAAAGAGAGGTATGAAAAGGAAAATAAAAAGGAAGGTGAAGTAAAGATGAATAAAGAAACAGCCAGAAATAAGACGGATAATGAGAGAACATGCAGCAGAGAGAAAGAGATAACTGACGAAGAAATAAGTGAACAAGGGAACAAGGAGGGAACAATGTTAGTACAGTTACAGAGTAATCAACACCATTATGTACAAGTTGCACATGTTAGGCTGATGACTACTTTTTATAAAACCTAATTTGCCAGATGTTGCAAGAGACCATTTTGGCCTCTAACA